GTCTGGACGTGCATTCCATTTTGTTCACCAATGAGGAAGTGTTCCCTCTGCATGGCAAAGGTACGCAAGATGTTTGGGCAACAAGCAACCCACGGCAATGTAGCGCTTAACGTGTGAAACATAGCGTGAAGTTCATTGCCTGGTCTGGGTAGCCTGACCGAAAGATCATTGGGCCCTTTTTCTTTTCAAGTATTGTGTCCCGTAGGTTCTTGGTTAAGAGTATCAATGTCTGATATTTGTTAGCATCATGGCCAACACCATCCGGCGAATAGTTCTCTGTAGCCAAAACGACGGAGGGCACTTCGAACATCCAGTTCGTTGATATTTGCAGACATTTCACACCTTTCATGTAAATATAAGTAAATAAAGGAAGGAATGTATATTCTCCATTTTACATGATAAACACCAGCGAAGGCCTGCTCAGTTTGTACAACTAGCAATTGTCTGACTGTGAGGGCAATAATTGCATTCATGAGTATATTGGTGTGTTGTCTAATGGTGCCACCAGTGTGTCGAGACAAACTGAAGTCTAAGAGCATTGGCACGTCAAGTCAAGTCAAGAATTCGTTGTTATGCACCCTTGAAGGTTGGATTTTCAGCTGTAACACACATGCGATTGAGACGGTAAAGCGAATAACACTGTAACATTACAATGTGTTCCTGGCACTATGATTCGTTTTTAGTAGGGAAAGCAGCCTAACAAAGGCTTACGGGTTTGTTGTAAGCCAGTCATGAGGTGATGACAGCTTTTGTGGCGATAGCAATACGGCGCCCATCGACCGGTCATCACATACGGCCGGGCTGTTTTTTTCAGTTGCTAGCACAGCGACTTACTAACCATTTCACGAGAAACCCTTTTGCTTGCTTTTTCACCTGGGTGAAGGCCGACTACCGATCGACCAAAGCATGACTACTTCAGTGCGGCTGTGATGTCTGGCTCACGTCCAACTCTCCCAGCTGAACGGCGTGCTTTCCCTTGGTCTTGTCCTGCGATCCACGCATAACAAGTCGATTGCGGCTGGGGTGTTTACTAAAGTTCACCTCTCACGGCCGAACGGCTTGGTGTGCCGTGCGATCGTAGGCGCACACGTCTCCTCTCTGTGGCCCATCTCACCACTGCTGGCAAAGCATTTTGCGCCATTGGACTGTTGGTAATATAGCGTACCGGTCTACCGGGTGCTCTATTAATCTGGTCCGGAGCTGGCAGCGGCTACACTGATGCTAACGTTTGTCTCTTGAACGACGCAACGACTTGCAGGTACATTTACACCGATCCAACCTCGCAGCTTACAAACAAAATGAACAAAACATTGAAACGACTTTAGGAATAGAACCAAATCACGAAGGATGAAAGCGAAGGAATGAGAGCCGGCGACTCGAACATCTTGCGTGTATTTGGACTCCCAAATGTGTACAAATATGATGCCCGTTTCGACCGATTGTGTCACTACCAGGATCACCCACCTACAACTTGGCGTAATGAACGTAGAGACGCCTTCAATATCTAACATGTGGATCGCAATATTCCATGAATTATGCTCAGCAATTTCTACAAAAGTTCAAAGACCTGTGAATAGATGATGATGACACCATGATATCTTTCGATGTGACTGCCGTCTTTACGTCTATGAACTTACAAATGACAACAACGGTCATCACAGAACGGCTGAACGGCAGTAAGCAACCAGTCAGGAAGATGACGACCGGAAATGTATGTGAGCTACTCCATTTGTGTCTGTCAACCTACTTCTCTTTCAAATGGAAGATCTACGAACAGTTGAAAGACGAGCCAATGGGATCACCTATATCCGGACTCGTCGCGGAGATGGAACAATGGAACAATGGAACAATGGTATATGACGGGTAAAAAAGCATACACTTAACGAGTCCCGCAGGTTGGCAATAGAAATACTGACAAATTGGCAAACTACATAAGTGGTTGAAGTAAGGAGTGTCAGTGAGATAAAAGGTAGAAGTATAACAGTTTTAGGGGGGATAAAGTGGTACGACGCAAAACTGGCTAAGAAATTGTTATCGTTGGTGATGGTAGCAAATCAAAATGGAGTACTCACCGGTTCGCACAGATTTACGACCGTGAATTTGGGGTATAAATCCAAGGAGGCTGGTCAGCCTAAATATATACAAGCGTTTTCGTTCATAAAACAAAGCGCAGGGCGCTCAGTGCGACGTCCAATCGTTTTTTAAACGTATCTAATGTGGGGGCACAAACAACTGAGTTTGGAAGGGCGTTCCAGGGCCCGCAGACCCGGAGGGAGAAATAGGTTCTCCGACAGTCTAGACGACTGTACTGTTGGCTCAGCTTTAAACTGTTACCGCGAAGGTTAGTGTTCGGGCTGAGCTTCAAGAGGTGGCGGCATACGTGACTGGGATCGCTCAATATCTGGTACACTAGTATGAGGTCTCCACGAAGTCGCCGGTACCGTCCGCTGAACACTCCGAGTATCTCCAGTCGTTCCTGGTAAGGAGTGTGGCGCAAGCCCTTGACGATTTTCGTTGCTCGACGCTGTGGGGTCTCAAGCGCTGCAAGGTCACGTTTTAGCCAGGGTTGCCAGGCCTGGATTGCATATTCGACGTGAGGACGCACGTAGGCATTCAGCATCAAAGAGAAGATGGATGGATCCAAAATTCCGAATGCTCTTCGCAGGAGTCCAACGTGCTGGTTGCCCCTTTTAGAAGCGGAATCTGACTGTTTGGAACACCCGAGGTCTTCCTGTACCAGCACACCCAAGTCGCGTTCCTGAGTGGTGGTCTTCAGATCGTGTGCCCCAAGCTTGTAGACGTGGACTTGTCGATGGCGGATATGAACAACGCGACATTTGTCCACATTAAACGGCAGGGCGTTTCTCACCGACCAATTCCAGGCCTCATTCAAGTCACGCTGTAGGACTTCCTGGTCGTCCGATCGTTTTATCGCCCGCCAAACCTTGAGGTCGTCCGCGAAGAGTAAGAATTTCGACGTAATAACTCTTACTAGATCGTTAATGAAAAGAAGGAACAAACGAGGCCCAAGTACCGAACCCTGCGCTACGCCGCATCCCACTCGAATCGGATCGGAAAAGGATGATCGAACTCTAACTACTAACTGCCGTTCAGAGAGAAAGTTACCGATCCATCCTAACAACGGGTCTCCGATACCGTACTGTTGGAGTTTAATGAGCAGGATTCGATGATCCAGGCGATCGAAGGCTTTCGAAAAGTCCAAGAATGCAACATCGACTCCTGTTCCCTCATCGACAGTCTCGGTCCAGTTGTCACGAGCTATCAGCAGATTCGTCGTACATGAACGATGTTGACGAAACCCATGCTGTTCTGGCGCAATTATGCCGTAGTTTTCCAAGTATCCCATTAACGCATCTGCTATCACCGCTTCCATGACTTTGGCGATCACAGGCAGAAGCGTTACGGGGCGGTAATTGGCAGGATCCGATCGACTTCCTGCTTTGTATATGGGCGTTATTACACCTTGTTTCCACCTCGAAGGTACGATGTTTTCATTGAAACAGCGCTGAAAAAATGCAGCTAGTGGTTCGGCCAAGTGGATGGCAGCTACCTGTAATGTTTTCGGGTGAATGTTATCGGCCCCGGGAGAGCTGTGTGGACGCAAGGATAGCAGCTTTTGCAGCACCATTTCTGCAGTGAACGTGACGTTGGATAAAACGGACGGTGGGGTAACTAGTGGCGGAATATACGTCGAGGCTTGTACACCTTGGAAGATTGGGGAGTACTGGGCCCGTAATGCGTTGGCCGCCTCCTTCGCAGTATGTGTATACCCATTGGTCGTATTAAGTGGTGGGATTCCCCGTTGCACCTTGCGAAGTCCATTCACATGTTTGTAAAGAAGCTTTTTGTTCGAACAGAATCGTTTGGCTAGCTCCTGCTGATGCGTTCTCTTGTCTTCGCGAACCAAAAGCACACAGTAGTTGCGATGCGAAACGTATTCCGTCCAGTTTTCTGCGCTGGGGTTGCTTTTATACGTGCGCCATGCCCGATCCCTTAGAGTCATGCATTTTCGCGTCCGGCTTCGCAAGAATGATTTCGCTGTGCGGGGATGTTGGGAAACTTTTGGTGTTGAGGCTTCTATGACTAGTGACGGAATGGTGTTCACGAATGTCACCCAGGCTAGTTCTGGGGTGCAGTTAGCTAGAAACGTCCAACTGGTATTCTCAACTAAGGCAGACAGAACGTGGTAACGGATAACAGATTGCCTCGTTTCGAGCTCCGCAGCTGGATATTCGGCGTAGCAGATGTAATCGAACTGCAAAGTCACGTGATCGCTACGGCCCAAAGGACTGCACACCTTTAGTCCATCGACCATGAGCTCTTCGTTAGTGAGCACTAGATCTAATATCGATGGGTTGTTTCCTGTTCTGAACCTGGTTGGAACGGTGACGTGGTTATACAAGAAGGTGCTAGAGAGTAGCTCTTGCAAATATGCCTTGAACACTACTGTCTCGGATGCTGGATTTTCCAAGTCATGGGTGTTGAAATCTTCTGCAACGAGGATGTGGCTGTACTTCTGATTAAGCACGGAGCGAAAAGCGGAGATAAGTCTGTTTTCCCGTCACTTTCGAGAAGTCACCAGCACGCCGATCGCAGACCGACAATTCAATCAACGAGATGACACTCCACATCTCAACACACTGATGATGCCGCCTCGCATGGAGGTGAAAAGTTTAAAAACAAATTTCCCAGCTCGGCGAACGAATGAGCAACTTAATTATCAACCCCAGCTACCAGTTTTCCGAAACATTTTTAAGAATGAGGTTGATTGAAAAAACATTTTAAAGCGTAACACCATAGGGAAAATATAAATTGAACGAGATAACCTATGCGTGTTTACCCTTCAGCTAGTTTATGTGCGTAGAAATAAGCATCATTTATAATTCGATCAATGCCTCCGCGAATCTACTGAGAAAGTGGGAGGGTCTTTGTGATAACCAGAAATCATCTAACTGTGATGTTTCCACGCTTGTGCGCAGGAACGAACAAAGTCACAGTTGAGCAAAGCAATGGTGGAACTATTTCTACAATACATCAAGTTCCGAATCAGCCTCCCGGACGAAAATCTTATGAAATTGCTACAGGTGAGTTTTACTGGTAGATTTCACATACTTGTCCTATGAATGTTTGCTTCGAAATGTTGAACGATGCATAGCAAAAGCAAAAAGGATAATAGTGGCGAGCAACAGAGAAGTTTGAACTATCGAGAACAGCACTGCGGAAAAGGCATAGTTCACAGCGATGTACTGAGGGGATTGTTACAAAACTCCTACCGTCCACCGTGACAGACCCCTCATAGTAAGGACCGACCTAGTGAAACTTGTACTCACTATTGTGACCGATTCGGGTGCTCAACGATAGAGGGCAGAAGGAATGACTAGGAGGGCGCGTTCTAAAGAACTACCAGTTGATGTCAGGCAAATTTGCAGTTAATAGGAACTGGTGTGTATACGGCAAAATTGAGCATTACATCACTTGCTCAAATAGAGATACTCATACTGGACAGCTTTTTCATAACGCCAACAGACAGTGAACGAATATGCCGGGTTTATGTTAGATTACTCCAAGCAAAAGCGTAAATATACCGGAAGACAAACTACAATTAGGAAATAAGCCAAGGTATCGGTGATACAACTCACCAGAGATGTACTGTGACACATTATCTTTAACTCCTGGGATATCCCATGTAAGACATCGCACTTTACCTGGGTGCGTACATAGTACTCATTAAATTCTTTCTTGCTCCGTTTTAGTTCATTTTGTTGGATGCTGGTGGAACGGCTGAACCCAACCAAGTGGTTGATGGCTTGACCTCATTGTTTAATCCACAAACCTACCACCTGTTCGCTACGGGAGCTTCAGAACTTATGCGTCCTCATCTGACTGACTGCATCACATTTATCTCAGACGTCCACACGATAAACAAGGTGAGTTTTTCGACGCGGGCATGCAGATCTTGTTTAAGTCCTCCGGTATACGCACGGGTCGGACCAGGCGAAACAAATTGCGACAGTTTAGTGCATGAAGCACTCCCTTGGACACCGACTCTTGCATAAAGTGCGTTTATTCTGATAGTCTTGGGCTGATACCAATTACAACTGAATCGATGCGGTACATGAGTGCACGTGCAAAACCGAGTGAACATGCGACTGGCCTCTCACTGTACCTGGCCACACATATAGAGTCTGGTGCTGCATCTATAGTTTTGCGAAGACTAACCAGTAGGCTTATGTAGATGAATGGGTTGCTGGTGGTGAAGAAAGAGTGATAAAAACAGGTAGGTAGTTGAAGACAGATTGAAGTCCACAATTACCGGTATCTTAGTTATATGGGCTGAAGTTACCCGCCTGTACCCAAAGGCATTGCACCGTCTTTCCGCTGCGAATGGGAAAATTACTTTGTCCACTCTCGTGTGACTTAGTCGCATAGCGCCGATAGTTTTCGCGCAAAAAAGGGTATGTCTGTAGTGACCCTCGGAGCCGTGCTTGAGTCTGAATAACAACAGCTGAGAATTAAGCCTCTAACCTCCCTTAAATTGGCTTTTCCGATTCAGAAGTCTGTTAGAGAATGCGCATAACCCAGAGAACTACTCATTAGACATAACAATTCCCGTAATCAAAGCTAGAAGATGCAGTAGGTCACTGCGCTCTTCATTAAGATGGCTGCAAGACCCGGACTCTAACATGGATTGGTTATCGCACTGGATCACTAGAAACCCACAACGGCCTACGCAGCAATCTTGAGGCGTTTTACTGAAAATTGTAGGCGTCTGATAACCAATCAGTTGCATGCCTTGAACTTCAAGCGTACAACTAGATGGTCCATGAGAGAGGAATAAATCTGAACTTGAAACTGTGCTCGTCCATTATGATCAAAACATTTAAGATGTACGCTGGAAAATAGGCTATACGCAGACGAAAATGACAACGATAGTATCCAAGTCTACGCTTTGATACGAACTGAAAGTTTCATCACCCTTGTTGTGGTCTTAAGCTGGTCCGAGGTAGATGGGTTCCCACAGACTCCGATCAGATCAGCCGTTGTGTGCCACGGCACGCAATACTGGTCAAGTAGGATGTATTGTTGATGTGAACACCACACCGGACTAAATACCCCAGTAAGGGTGGTAACTGCCGAAAGTACGCCATACATATGTAGTTATGCATGAGGCGAAACTTTTACATGTGTTATATTTTTCATGGCTTCATTATCAGGCTAATACAACCACAATAAAGCAAGTTAGAATAGACACGATGGTTTAAATTGAGTCACTGAAACAGAGTAACTAATCGATAAGTCTACGTGTTTGGTCTGATTGGTCAAGTGAATTGGCGTGACTGCCATTGTTAGTCGCGTTGATCTCAGGCCAAGGCAAGGCTAAAGTGTGGACGAACTTTTTCTGTGCACATAGGTCCGGGTTATGGAGCCGAATTGCGATCGCCTCTGCTGTCGACAGCAGGCGACATCTGACTGCCCGTGTGAAACGTCCAGGGACACAGTAAATCGGTGTGAATGCGTCACGCGAATCGATTTGATGGTCGGAGTCAACTAGGTGCGACAACACTGCACTCGTTATATTCTTCCTCACGCCGCTGTAGAGCCAAGCTGGGCAATGCTCTCGAGCCCTAACGGACAGTCGCCTGGTCGTTTTCCCGATATACCTTGCTCGACACGAGCAAGAGAAATTGTACACACAAAAGGAGGTCTGCGACCGAGGTATCCTGTCTTTAAGTTGTTGGCACACGAGCGGTGTTGAAGTGAAGCTTACGCGGAGATTAGCGGCAAAATACGTTCTTTCTGTTGCTAAGGAAAGTCTTCGGGTGGTCCGTTCCGCTATCGCGTCACCCTTAAATGGCAACGATTAGTATACCATCCGCTTCTCCACTGAAACGGGTTTGGGCTTTTGTACTCGTGGTTCCATGTGCCTCTGGATGAATTTCTCAGGGTACCCATTGCGCTCGAGTACGTTTCGTATAAAACTCAGCTCATCTGAAAGCGTATCATCTGTACATATTCTCCTCGCTCTCTCCGTTAGGCAACGGACGAGGTTCCTTTTTTGACTTATCGGAACAAAGCTAGCGAAATGGATGTACTGCCCATTCCAGGTTGCTTTTCTGTGCACCCTCCTTCGCATTGACCCATCTGATGCCCTTTTGATTTGGACATCTAAAAATGCCAACGTGTCGTAACGTTCTAGCTCGATAGTGAAAGTTATATTGCTATGTGCAGTGTTAAACTGGGCCAATAGGTCATCGACGCACATTCCATTATTCGCGATACAAAATACGTCGTCTACGTATCGACCGTAATAAACCAAGCTGTTGATGGATTCGTTCAGCTGGTTGCACTCCAATTTGCTCATGAAGACGTCCGCGAGCAACGGTCCTAATGGTGAACCCATTGCCACCCCGTCTATTTGTCGATATAGCGTTCCATTAAACTGAAACTGAATGTTTCGTGTGCACATGAGTAGCAGTTGTCTCAGCCGGTCTAGTGGGATACCAACATTGATGTTGCGCAGCAGGATGAAGCCATGAAAACAAGCTTGTTCGCTACTTTCTGTTTCTGATGTCATCCCCGGGAATTATTTCTCAATTGTTATATTTTTATGGACCAGGGGGCAGGGACAATGTTTGGTCGTACAAAATAGACACAAATTTTACGGGTTTGTGGGAACAATGCGACGTTCTTCATGCTCACATGTGATCGGTTGCACACTCAACTATGAACATGGTGTTGGTTTGCTTTTGATGCACAGTTGTAAGGTTGGGACACAATTCCGTGGTCTCATCATGCCTCAAGTTCACCGAATTTTTGATTTTACTTGGATTAGTTTGACTCCAACCCTAACGTCTTGCATGATATTCCGCTGGGCCAGATGGGAAAATTCCACCCTATCCACACCAATGAGCTAATTAAATGGTTGGATCACAAAATTGTGAGACTTAACATCCTCAGAGATTACCGTCTAACTAAAAGATTCAAGGTGTCATGCTAATTTTACCTATCCAGTTGTGGGCGATCGACTCTCATTCCAATTACTGCACATATGGATGTTGCATGATTCCTTTGTGTTTGTTTGCTATGATGCACAGTCAGTAAAATATAAGAAACCGTAAACGTTGAAAGTTTCTTTTTCTTTCTTGACAGGTGAAGCAGGCACAAAAGTCGGCTGCCCAGCTCAAGGTGAATAGTTTCGGAACGAGTGCAGGCAGTGGACCTACCGCGGTCAGCGTTTCCGCAAATCCCAAACTGTCCGCCAATCTGAGCCCATCTGCCGTCCCGCATAACACGGCAGGGGGTCTGCTTAGTTCTGGACTTTCAACAAGCGCACATGGTGGTCTAAACGTCGGGAGCCAAACAGGTGGACTTAGCACTGCAATCGGATTGGCCACCACCCTACCGAGCATACACGAAGATGTGTTGGGAGCTCACTTAAAATCAGGTGTTGCACAATATGTTGCCCTGGAGTTATCGCGGTCAAGTAATTGCAACGACCAAGATGTGCTGTCTATACTTGCTCCAGGTTTAATAGCGGACATAAGGCCGATGAAAAGTGCAGGATTTGTGACAAGTCACGCGTCGAATCGAGTAAGGACTACAACGACTTGTGCGGGGCCTTCGGCGCCAACTGTTGGTATGTTGACAAGCCATCAGGGAACTGAAACAGATCCAGCTAAAAATACTCGACTTTCTGGTAGCATCACATCCAAAAAAAGCGAAGACAGCGACCGGAGAGATAAAACGGCTCATCGGAATACGGATACGACTGTAATAGTAATCACACCTTCAGTAGATCCCCCGGAATCCCCATCGGGTAACACAGAAGCCGATGCAAAGCGAAGCCTAAGGGGGAGCTTTTCGGTTTCTGCGAACAGCATAACCACCCCCAGCAGTTTGTCTCCAAGAGGAAATACTTCCAATTCTTCCATCGTTTATCCACAGTCAACCGGCTACGGGGGGACAACATTGTCAATGACGGAGAACCTGACGTTACCGCCAGGGTCACCAAGCACAATCTCCCCAAAAATGGGAGCATACAACCACATGACGCCGGCAACCACCTTATCTCAAACTTCGCAGCTAGATGCCCCAGTTTTGCATATACTACCGTGGCTCAAATCGATTCCTCCGTCCTCTCAGTTGGGGTCAGTAACAGCACGGTTACTCCATATGCATGTTTTGTTTGCTTAAGACAAAACATTTGTGAGCTTCCATTGGCTCAGAAGAATGTTTCTCGACGAAAAGGGTCCTACATTAAGCTGTAGCATTTCAGTGAGACCTGGTAACAATTCAGGGTATCTGCAGTCAATAGTCGCTTCTCAACTATCCTGGATAGCTGATATGTCCACATTCGATTGTGCACCATTTTAAAATGCGATATTCTTGCCGTAATCTCTTGTAAATACTACCTAGAGGTAATTGCATCATATTCCACATTTAAACCTACCATCCTGAAATAATCCATAGTTGAAGTAGTTTTGAGGTAATGAGGTTAGAAGTAGTCGTTTCCTGAACTGTCCATGTTTTCTTGTGAACTTCAGCCCTCGCGATTTCCTAGTCATGGTTGAAAGGGCTCGCACTATTTCCTGGCTTTTGCTCGGTGCTACCATGAACATGGCCTTGACTCGTGAGGCCACTGGACTGGCTTGTCGACCGATCCCTTTTGTCCTCGTCCGTGCGGTGGCCGATCTGGTAAAAGCGTTGTTGAGCAGTTTCCCAGAGCAGCAGAAAGTGAGTAACTTTCACTGAAAGATAAAAGCCGTTTTAAGCACACACATTTTGATGTTTTCCGGTTTCAGCAAGGCACTCGATGTGCACCTTCATTCTTCTTTGTGATGGTTAAATGAAACCAGCCTACTCGGCGCTGGAACAGTAAGCGTTGTGAGGGAATCGTGAAACCGGTAACTAAAATGCAATTGTTACGGTTGAAAGTAAGCGAAACCACCGACGTAACAGCGATTTCAAATGCAAGTCGGTCGAGGGATTGCAGCATTCTCTACTCAGCCAGATGTGTCAACTATGCAAGGAAGAGAGCAGTCATGGAGCAGCTGATGCCAAAAGGCTCAGTTTTAGCTCAATGAATGGTATGATCTGAAACGTCCTATTCAGGGTATACAGCAAACAAGCTAAACATAAGTAAGCCCCATTAATGTGGACTGAAAGTACTCATCACTCCATGGACCCCCACCTGAAGTTGAGTCCTCATTAGGTGGCCACGGTTTCGCAGCAGCGTTAAAATATGGGGCAAAAATAAGCGTTTGACCGAAGAGATTTAAAGTGCATACAAGTGAGGAGCTGGTGACCAAGATATATACAGAAATGATCTAACATATTTATACACCAAATGGCCCAAAAAATAGTGGCAGAAGTCTCTCTGAGAGGAAAAATTATGCCTGGGCATCACAAGTTCGAGAAAATTGCTATAATACAAACTGTAAAACAAACTTTATTATGGTTGAAAAATAGCTCCAAAATTCTGTTTGCATGTTTGTTTACAAACCACCCTACTCGGGCACAACCTGATTATAGGCATAAAGAATAAATACGATTTCACAATTGATGACAGTACCCGTTAACAATGATATTGTCTACTCCGGAAATGACATGCTTTCCGTAGCTCCACAGATAACCAGCTTTCATGGCAGTATAAAGTCACATACACGCTTCATCTTATGCTTTCCCTTTCAGCAATCTGTTACTGTGATGTCATCATTGTACCACGTTTTCCTTTTGTGTCAAGTGAGTATCTATTTTACTTGGTCTTACTGGCGACTGTCACATTCCATTTGAAATGTTTTTGGCAACATCAGCAAATGTAAATTCACGAGCAGAGCATTCGGGGATTCTCTTCGGAGGTGTCTTGGACGATGAGAGGTTCAGAGGGCTGCCCCTATGCACATCTGTAGTAGATTTACTAAGCTGTTGAACAATATGCATACGACGATAAGTCTTGCAGTAACATACGACGACGATCCAAGCTTCCAGCTACCATCCGCAGGGAATTACTCAATTGATGATGCCCTAGGGAGTTTTCTTACACCATCAGCAGCATACAGGTTAGCTAGAGGTGGGAAACACCTCAGCTACTGTGCCGCAATACAAAGAAAAAAGGAGAGAAAAAACAAACAAAAAACAAACAAAACGTTCCCAAGTGGATGAGAATTACTACCCGGATAGGTTGGGCAAAACAGGCGATTAGTATAATAGAGGAATCCAACACTGCTAAGACGGAACCAAGAGCGAACGGTCCCACGCAAAAAGGGTTAAGTGTAGGGAAAAGTGTTGAGCGGCCGTTCGAACACTTCGGGGTTTGACAACTGCACTAGAACAATTAGGTAATGAACAGTGATTGATTAATCACGGGTAAAATGTGCTGGTCGACATATCTGAATTGTCGGCTGATTGCGACGAACAAAAAGGTGCACGTGATCGAGAAGTCCTGTAGCATAGTTGGGGCACAAAATGCAATATCAAAAGATATGAGAGTCATCTGTCTTAGTGACTATAGAGCAAATCTACTGCCGAATAATGCTAGTGTAAAATGCGCATTGCATGCTTGCATAAAAAATAACATGGGGGTACTTATAGTCAAACAAATCTTTGAGAAAAATGAAAACTAGAACGCTCTCTCATGTACCGTCTCCGCAAGTCCATGTAAACTTAAATCCAGTATGAGAGCACAATTAATCGATTCCAAAGTAGCACTGCTTTAGATAACGAAGTGCTGGGAGCCAAGGTCAACATCTAAAGGTGTTTGAAGTTATCCACCGTGGAGGAGGAGACAGCTGAATTTGGAAGGGAGTGACAAGGTTGGTAAACTCGAAGATAAAATTACTTCCGTTTGTACTGTTTACTCAGTTTCAAGCAGTTACCACTGCGGTTGGTGTTGCAGCTAGTTGCAACAAGTGTCAGCATAGGTGATTTGGAGCACCCACTATTCGGTACACTAATATGTGGTCACCTCTTTAGCGTTCAATCACGTTCGCGGAAAACACTAATTAACTCTGGCCTTTAGTAAGAAAACATGTTGCGTAGACCTCTGACGTTGTTTGTTTCCTTGTATTACTGTACATCTAGAAACTCTAGGTCCCACTTCAACCAAGGTTGCTAAGCTTGGATAGCGTATTCAAGGTCAGGGTAGTGAATCATCGGGAAGATTAATGGATCGAAACTTTCGAATGCCCTCCGCAGCAGACCAACTTGCTAGTTATCAGATTTTCGCAGTTGCTTCAGCCAGTACTGAACAGTTGCGGTCACTTTGCAGGGGCACATTAAGGCTACCTTTCTTGGAACTTATCTGCAATCCGTGTGTCCCAAGTCAATCCAGGTAGTGATCACACTAGCGTAGTTGAAAAACGCGGCATTTGCTTACATCGAATTTGAAATGAGGTGCTGGAACTCGTGCTAAGCTCTCGCTGGAGCTTCTCGTGTTTGTCAGTTCCTCTGATTGCTCGCCCCATCTTGATATCATTAGCGAAGAATAGAAATCGGAAGTAACTGCCCTCGCTAAATCGTTTATGAATTCCAATAATTCACGAGGGCCTAACATGGTACCTTGTGGTACACCGCATTTCACATATGTTGTATAGGGCAGGGATTCTCGAAATCCCAGAAATGGGTCGCCTATGCCATAGCAATAAAGCGTAGGAAGTAGCGTTTAGTGCTGTAATCGAGCAAACACTTTTGAGAAGTTTTGCTAGATGACATCGAGACGTGCTCCACCATCCTCTGCTTCAGTCCAGCTATTGCGTGCCATTTACAGGTTGGTAGTACATGAATGCTCTTGATGGAAGCTATGTTGATCCGGGGCTATAATGCTGTGATTTTCCAGCTGCTTCAACAGTACATCTGCGATGATTGATTCCGTAAGTTTGGAAAGTACAGGAAGCAGCCTTATCGGAAAGTAATCAGTTGGATCAGTACGACTACCTCCATTATGAATAGGAATAATGACCCCTAGCTTCCATTTTGATGGAATTTGGTTTCCCTCCAGACAGCGCTCATAGAAGATAGCCAGAGATTCTTCCAGATCACTGGCTACTGCCTGCAGAGTCTTCGATCGAAAGTTCTCGACAACAGGAAAGCTGTGGGTACGCAGGCATAACAGTTGCTTCAACACAACTACTGCAGTAAAGGTACTATTGGATAAGCATGACGGTGGAGCAGTAGCAACAGGGCCTATTACCCTCTGGGACGTATGTGAATGATGGAACCGTAAGAGATCGGCTACTTCCGCTGCTAATCGAATGTGCCCCTCAGTCGTGACCAGTGCTGGAATTCCGCGTTGCCCTGTATGGAGGCCATTTCCATACCTGCACAAGAATTTGCGGTCTGTGCAGAATCATTTAATTAACAACTGCTGATGCGTCACCATCTCTTCGCGGATATCAATTGTACGCAAATTTGGGCTGTGCCACATATGTAGTCCAGCTTTCCGCATTCGGGGAGCTCTTGTGAGACTTCTATGCCAAGTCCCTCAAGGACATTCATTTGGCGTTCTACTTCTTAGAAATCGATCGGTTCTTTTTGAAGAGAAAAGGAGTTTTGCTATAATGCGTGCGGAATCAGTGTGCTAATCGTCTTTGTAAATGTCTATCCGACACCTACTGGGAGTATTCAGCTGAGAAGTCCAGCTGAGAAGTTCAGCTGAGAAGTCTCCTTAATGAGAGCGGATAACAAGTTAAAGTTCCTGCCAGTGCATGGCTTATCATTTACTTCTTCACGATGTACTGCATAACATATCTAGTCCAACATGGTCACTGTGACCCAATGTTGTGCTCGTAATCACTCGGTCGATCATGAGTTCTTTGTTGGTTAGCATCTGATCAATTATCGACGGCCTGTTAGCAGTTCGACATCTGGCGGGAGAGGTTACGTGGTTCTACAGAGAGTAGCTTGGATGTAACTCTTGCAAACACGCTGATCACAGGTTGAAGGAATTTCCAGGGCGTGCAAATTAAAATCTCCAGCGACGAGAAGGTGGCTGCATGAGTTGTTCACCGCAAGCTTCTAAATCTGATTCGGTTTACAGTCCAATTCATACGCAGAGTTTGGTGGACTATAAATTACGGCTACACGACATGCGTACTTCATACGCAGCCACAGCCAGCACCAAAGCGAATTCGGGGCGCGGACTGCTGGGTGGTCTATAAATTCACATCCGTGGTTAGCTTTGCAATAAGGAATTAAACCACCACCCACTCTAGTTCTACAGTTCCGAGTCAGCGACATACTGGGTACCTTGATCTCAGAATCAGTTATCACATGCTTTAGATATGTCACTGTAATCATGACGAGATGTTGCTGTTGTGAGGCGTAGCGCTCCGTAAGTTCGGCTAATTTGGTACGAGGACCTTGTGTTCTAGTGGACAAACAGAATAGTGTTTTGGATGGTAGGAGTACATTGGTTGATATGAAATTCGAGTTTTATTTCAAGACGACTGTTAGATGGCCGTCTGCTAACCGCGTTTTTGCTTGGTTTGCATCATTGGTTTTGGAATTTCAGTCGGGCTGTATGGCATCACAGAGTGTTCCGAATCAGGATGTTCTCACGTGCTTCGCTCCGTCCTATCGGGTGCCGTGGGTACTGTTGTATTGGTTTCCCAGCAGGACTGTGGAAACAAAGCATGTACTGAGGTTGCATTTCATTCGAATGGCTGACCAATCGTGGACATGCGCCTGCTCCCATCAACCGGATCTCATTTGGCAACCTAGAGCGAAGCTTCAGCCATTCAACCAATAAGACTGGTGTCATTCCTTTGGGGTGTTGCACCACATTCATTACTCTTGAACCGCAACCCTTGTAGTTATGTGATTAAGTAATTTTCGTCAACGATGTAGCGCTAACGTCTTCCAAAGAGAGTGCTTCGCAATAGTAGCTCCACGGCTCTCGTTCATGTGCTTGCGCTGTGTGATAAGTAGAACCCGTTAATTAAAGAACAGGATAAAGTAAGCTGGTTTTCTTCATGTCCTTTGTCGTAGGGCATACTTGACTGTAAGATTCTTTTGTGCCTCGTTTCCCAGGATCATCGGGTAGTTTGCATGCACCGCTAGATGAATTTTGACGACCAACTGCTGAGTGTGAAACGGTCTCTGTCTCCTGTGTTGAGTTCGAAATTACTCGAAGTAATCTAGATTTACCGTAGTGCACTGTAATTGGGTGACACGCTACGCGTCTCAGCATATTGGCGTCGACCCGATTACCAATAGCATCGCTGATAGAATTTCCCTGGCTCCGATCGTCTATTCCTTTGTCTGGCCAGATGTGGACTCGGGAAAGTTAGTGCACACGAGTTATCGCATTGTGGTTCTGTCTAACAAATGGCAGTTTGCGAGTTTCTGTTAGCAGCTTGTATTATTTAGCAGGCGGTGGAGACGGTAGTGAAAGTTGCACCGCTCCCCCCTCGCTTGCTACGGAAGGTGGACATGGTTGGCGGCACCTGGTTTCGGATTTGCCAGTCACTTTGGCCAGTTACAGCATAACTGCGCCTACAAAGTGATCATGGGTAACCTGCGCTGTACCACTCACATCTCCATTCGAACACCCCATAACCAGTGTAAACCCGAAGGAATAAGACCAGGAGACATGTGGATGGGTGCCAGGTTCCATCAACGGAGCTGGCGCACACTCTTTCACAGGAAAACACAAGCACGCTGTATTTGGGAAAAAAATCGCACACCGGGCGGTGGCTGGACCGTAGTTCACTCCGCACAGAGTGCATAGAACCACTGTTAGATCC